GCCCTCTGACTTGCCTATCAGTCCCCACTGTCCTACCCTGCCACCTGTTCTGCTCTCTCTGGCTCCCAGCTCTGCCACCTACAAGGTCGGAGGAAGCCCAAGACCCTAGAAAGCATTTCTCCCAGGATCAAGGTGGCTCACCTACAGAAAGCATGTTGGGACCACACAGTCCTCAGTCCTAGTAAACTGAGAAACAGGCAGTGATCTGACTAGAAAGTGGATGGAAAAGGTAAAAGGATCCGAACAATTCCCTGGTCTGGAGGCCCAACCCTCTCAACATCTGCATCCAGAGGGGGCAGGTGGTAAGCTCCCTGAGGTCACAAAGATGCCCCAGGCTTCTAGGTGTTCAGCGGGAGCCCTCTCCACTTTGCCCTGCCACCTGAGGAAGAGGAGGCACTTGTTTCCCACGGGTTTGGTTGGTTATGGGCCCACCAGACAGCTCCTAGGGAAATGACAGGAATAGGCTGAGTACTTGGTGGGCAGCACTAGTTGGGCCATCGTGAGCCACTGACAGCCAAGGCCTGGGACAGTGGCCCGGGAAGTGATGACAGTCAAGGAGGCCAGCAAGAGACCTCTTTCCTCTTGGCCCCACCTATCCAGCCAGCCAGGAAGGGTGCCGTCTCTAAAAGATAGCAATAACGGGGCCCCAGCGCCCCCTGGTGGAAGTATGGGACAAGACAGGCACCCTGAACCCCTTCATCCCATCCTGTCTAGTCCAGTGGACACACGTACCTCCGTTTCTGGCCTAGGGATGAAAACTGGGGGCGCCATCTTCAGATTGAGGCCCTGAAAGTCCCATTCACCAAGGATGTACTGCACAGGCATCCTGAAGAGGGGGAAAAAGGTGATCATCAGTGCCAGCAAATGAACCAAAGGGGCCATGTCTCAGGTGGGATACCACTGTGGCCAATGGTGTCGGGTAGGGTCACACCTCCGTGCCCTGGAACTCCTAACCAAGCCCATTTCTCCCTGTCTTCTTTCTATTTACTACCATGACCCCTCTCTCATCACTCTTATCCCAATACCTTCCGAGTCCTTGGACACTTTCTTCCTCCTTAACCATGAACTTGGTGGGGCTAGAGGAAGCTGGATCCTGCTCCCCACACAGGTTTGGTCCACGGCGCTCACCTTTGCAAACGGTAGCTACTCAGCTCCTGGATACACTGTAGCTGCCAAGGGGTCAGGGGCTGGGTCCAAAGTCCTGGCCTCAGGCTCTGAAACTGACCCATAGAGAACATGAGTGGCTGGTTCCCCTGACCCAGGTTTTTTTCGTTGATGATGCTAGTAGGTCCAACATTGGCCACCCTGGTCATCCCTGAAGCTCTAGTGCCTGACACACACTGTAACAGTTTCTTGGATGGATGACTTAAGTATTTGCCTAAGACATTCCTTCAGAAAAATCCCATAATTTTCAGCTTAGCACTCTCAGAGAAGTGGAAAAGGCTTGGATGTCCCTTCCCCAGGGCCTCCCTTCCCCCACTTCCTGCCCTCCTAGCAACACTGCACTTAACTGTTTTGGCTCCAAGGACATGAGCCACGATGTACTCACTGGATTCCCGGGCCTCGGGGATGCCCTTTTCCTCAAAGACTGCTGTCCAGTGGCTGACCACTTTGGTGGCACTCAACAACCCAGCCGGAAGCTGATGGGGTTGCCATGAGCTAAAGGCGCAGCCCCAAATGCCTCTCCTCCACCCCAGGCCACAGATGATGGCCCTCAGCATTCTGCCCCAATGCTCCACGTCTCAGGGAAAGGATCCCTTGAGCACTTCCCCGAGGTGCCCAGGTCTTTCTTGTGATGTCAGCTGCTGAGGATGGTGACTGGCCTCAGCTGGAAGGAGATGGAGCGGTCACAGGCTCTGGGTCGTCAGCATGGCTGGTCCTCAGACGCAGCTGCCCTGGAATAGGAAAGGAGAACCAGGACAGCAGCTGAGCCTCGCGGGACTCATTCTTCTCTGACCTGTTGCCTGTGAGAGGGCATGCTTTGCTGTTCCCTCTCTGACTCCATTTTATACCCTCACCCATCTACTTGAGTTCTCTTGCCTTGGTGAGTGACATTTTCTTCAGGTCTTTGGCTCATGTGATCTGAATCCATGGTTCCATCCCTGATAATAAATGGACTTGCAGACTTGGGGTTTGGAGAGATCTATTTGACCCAGAGAGTGTGACCTTGGGAAAGTCATTATTTCTGAGTTTTAGTTTCCTCCTCTATACAACAGAGGAAAGAAATAACACAAACTCCCTAGTAAGCAGTGCGTCAGTCAGTGAATGTCTAGGGCCTGGGAGGCATCTCAACACACAGAGGGAGTCAATGTTACATGCTCTTAACTACTATTACTAGGGGAGAAGACTGCTTTTGCTTGGGAGTTTTGCTTTCAACATTTAGCATGTACTGTCACTGATTTGTGGGCTGCCCAGGTGGAGCTAGTGGTAAAGAACCTGCCTGTCAATGTTGGAGATGTATGCAGCGCAGATCGGAACTCTGGGTTGGGAAGATTTCCCCGGAGGAGTGCATGGCAGCCCACTCCAGTATTCTTGCCTGGAGAATCCCATGAACAGAGAAGCCTGGCAGATAACAGTCCACAGGGTCACAAAGAGTTGGATACAAAGCGACTTAGCACACATACACATTATTGATTTGTATTTTGAAAATCATCCCTCCACCCAATTTAACCCATGGTCCTAAACACCAGCATAAACTGCCAACTAAAAATCTGACAATTTGTTGGACTTCCCTGGTGGTCCAGTGGTTGGGAATCCGCCAGCTAATGCAGGGGACACAGGTTCAATCCCTGGTCAGGGAAGATCTCTCATGCTATGGGCTAACTAAGCCAATGAACCACAACTACTGAAAACCGCACGCCCTAGAGCCTGTGCTCTGCAACGAAAGAAGCCACCACAGTGAGAAGCCCCTGCATTGCATCAAGAGAAAGCCTGAGTGCAACAAGGAAGACCCAAGACCCAGCGCAAACAAAAATAAAAACACAAATAAATACCTTTTAGATGACAATTTTTGTTAACTTTACATTAAAATTATCACAAACACATTTAGCCGAGAATTTCAAATCAGTGGTCTCCTTTCCTCTTACAAGGACCTGGCTTCAAACTAGCCTTTATTAAACAACTGTTCGGTGCCGCTCTTTAGAGACAAGCAGGAAGGAAAACAAAACTCCGAGACGGGAAGCAACCTGCCCAAAGTCACCCAGCTAGTAACTGTTCCAGGCAAGACACAAAACCTTCGAACTCCGGAGGCAGCTCTTACTACCAGAACGCTGGCCAAGGAGTAGCCGAGGCCTGAAGTCGGGCGCAGCTTCTTCCTCTCGGCAAGATTGCCTCTAACCAAGCCTGTTTCTCCATCTGTACAACGGGGCCACAGACTTTCTGAGGAAGGCTACCAGAACTCTGAAGAACTCGAGGTCTCGAGGGTGTTCCTCATACCTTTCTAATAGGTTACTCCACTCTCCCGCCACCCTGAAGAAACTGCGGCGAGTTCGGCTCCCGGATGTGCATAACCCGGATGTGAGCGCCCCCCGAGAGGCTCTGCTTCCGGGGTTGGTTCATCCGAGAAAGGGCTCGGGCGGATTCCGTTGACCAGCTCCAGGGTTCCTAGAACCAATGGGTTGCACCTCGGACGCCCCTACGGGCCAGTGGCGGGGGGTTGGGGGGTGGGGTGGGTATGAACGCCTTGCGCACTACTTCCGCAGGCCCACGGTGGGAAAGGGTGGCGTTGTGTTAGGGTTGCTCCCCAGACAGTCTTCCTGAAGGTTGCAGCAGGAATACGGCTCTAGCCTGCGGTGACTGGTACCGAGTCCGGAGATGTGTAGGCCACCCGAAAGGAGGCGTGTCATCAGCTGCCAGGAGTCCAAGGGATCCGGCGCTATGCGCAGGGGCGTGGCCTAACATAGACTATGTATGGATAGAGCGGCACGTGGGCGTAGCCCAGTGTTGGGGGCTGGCACTAATTTGAGGCGTGGCACCCAGTGTTCAGGACCTGGACAGGACGAGTGTCCAGGACCAGGTGGCGACTGGACCCCAGGGCCGCTCTTGACCCTCTAACCCCTGTTTTAGGGTTTGGAGCAGGCAGCTCTAAATTGGAAGTATTAGTAGACCAGGGTTTGAATCCGACTCGTCGGGGGGCTTTTCCAGGTCGTCTGTGTGCGCCTCAGTTGCTCCTATAAAATTCATGGCAGGGTCTCTCAAGTGTGGCCTGCCAATGCCACTTCCCCCCGCCCTCGAGTCTATTGTTAACTAGATCACTGTTGACTAAACTACTGTTAAACATGCAGTTTCCGAGGCTCCGTCCCAGACCCGGGGATCTGTATTTGTAACAAGCTACTAACAAGCGATCCCCATATGTTCCTCTGAAAACCTGAGAATTAGAAGGTATCTGAAAGCTCCTCACTCTAGAGGTGATCGCGCTCTGGATGGAGGGATATACGTAGGTTTTCCTGGGTGCAGGTGCCCAATAATGCCTCTCCAATAATAATACCGTTCCATCTCCCTATTTCTCTGAAAGATGCCTCATTTCTAGCCAGAGGTGGATACCATTTACCAGCAGCCCTCACACCAGAGCCCATCTGAGCAGGAAGCTAAGAGCCACGGAGGAGAAGCATCTTGTTCTAGTTCACCAAGCTAGGGGAGCGTCCAGCCAGAGTTCAATGCTGGCTCAAGGACTCCTAGTCCAGTGCTCTCCCCAAACCTGTGCCCACCTGCATTCGGGGAGCGCGAGTCTGTCCTGGTGGAGATGAAGCCCTGGCTAGCCGGTGGCCAGAGTTCTGCCCTTAAGAAAGGCCTGGCAGCCCACAGTCCCCCGCGCAATTCTACTTGGGCCACGGAGGATGAGCAGTGGTCTGCTAGAGCTGCGACCCGGCTCCCGCTCTCGCTGGGGGCAGAGCCAGATCTGAGCGGCAGGCCAGCGGACCAATGCAGAGCCGGCTCTGGGCCTGACAGCCAATCCGGGGCCGGGGGCGCAGGGCTGGCAGGGACGAGAATAGCTGGAGCAACGCGGAGACGCCAGGCTGCTGGCCTCAGCCCCACCCCCGCGGTGGGTCCCGGCCCGGCCTGTCGGTGTTCAGGCTGGCAGAGCGAGCGCTCGGCTGTGGGCGGTGCGACGTCACAGGCACAGCCCAGGAGGTCCACCCAGGGAGGGCGGACCTCTGGTCGGACCCGCCGCCCCCTGCCCTAGGACCTGGGGGGTCCACCCCCAACCTTGCCCCCGCCTCCTGCCGGTCGCCACCACCCTTAACCTCTCCGGCTGAGCTCGGCGCCCCAGAGAGGATTAAGTAAGTGCTGAGGTCGCCGCTTCTGTGCAAGAATGGAGGAATCAGAGGGGCGAAGGTGGGGATGGGGATTGGAGTAGCGAGGAATGATGAACCTGGTGGAGAACGGTGTGTGGGTTCTCGGACGTCGTAGCGCCCATCCCTTTTCCTCCCCGATTCCGTCTCTTGCCCTTTGGAACATGAGGCAGTCCTGAACAGTGATGAGCAGGGCCCTTTCTCTCCTTTGGATGAAAGGATAGGAAGAATAAACAGAGCCCCAGAGCAAGTGTTAAGGGTCTGGCCCAAGGTCACATCTCGGGGTCAGTGGCAGAACCAAGAAAGAACCTGGGACTCCTGACAAGCCCAGCCTACCTAGAGGCAGAGAACAGACAGCGGAGATGAGCCTCTCCCATCCCATGTTTCTGTGCCAGCCTTGCCTCTTCCTAAGGGTCCATCCTGGGTGTGTGCCCACCTCACACACACCCATGCACCCACACAAGGAGGCATCCCACATATACCCATGAGCTAGCACACAGCGTGTGTATGCAGCCATGATCTGTGCATTCCTCCTCTCTGTAGGCCTGCCCTTCTGCAGTTTGGCTGGGACTTCTTTCCACTCGGTCTTATCCAGGGCCTTTTGGCCTGGGAAGGCCAAAGTCACAGCCTGGACTGGGCATATCACCCACCCTGTGCTCCCAAGGGGAGAGGGATGGGTAGGAGAAGTCATCTCAGAATGGGAGCTCCATTCTTACCTCTGAAGATTCGCTCTCCTTGACTGTCTCCTGGTCCCTGGCAGCCTCTGGCTCCCCTGTAGGGGTCCAGGGACCCAAGAACCTACAGAGGAAAGCCCATCAGAGGCCCTGAATGTAGCCTTTTTCTCCTTCTTGTCTTCTGGCCTTGCCACGCCTGTCCCTGCCCTCCCTCCAAGCACGGGCTGGATGACACACAGCAGAGTGGGTGCAGGGGCTTCTGTGGCCCCCCTTTCCCAAATGGAGTGGCCAGAGGGAGAAGAGCTAACACTTACTGGGTGCTTACTGTGGATAAGGGTTGTACTGAGCTAAGTCATTTCTAGGGACTACTTCATTTGATATGTCAGTGACCCTCTCACCCTTTCTGTGAGGGAGATGCCCTTAATGCCCCCAGCTTAGACTCAGGGCAACTGAGACAGGGAGAAGTGGTTGACTTGCCTAGGGTCACTCAATTAAGTGGCTGAACCAGAATTCATAGACAGGCCTGTCTGATCATTGTGCAAGGAAAAAGCTGCAGTATTTTTTTTTTTTTTTCCTCCAAGCAGGAGGTGAGGGATGGGGGGTGGGGCACAGGCAGGACATAAGAAGATGAAGAGCTTGAGGAGTAGCGGCTGGGGATGGGAAGTGGACTTTTTCTTTCAAACCTCCCTACTACCTTTCACATCTGAGTATGATTGTTGTGATCATCTTACCCACAAAGAGAGGGCAGGGCTTCATTTTCATGTCCCTAAATGCACGTGGGATCTATAGTATATGAAGCACATATCCTGATGGTCCCTGAACTTTCCCTTGCCCTCAAACTTTTATTTCCCCTGTGCCTTCAGAACTTATGGGGATTTCATCTCACCACAGAGTCCCATCCTCAGCCTCATGTTTTTGTTTTTTTTTTTCTTTCCAGCACCCACGGAGCTCCCTTTCAAGGACGTGGCCCCCTGTATGGGTAGTGGGGGCTGCAGGCTGGGACACCCCCGATGTGAGTGAGTGGGCAGGTTGGCTGATCACAAGCAGTCTCTCAGCATCAGCATGGACTCCAGGATCCCATCTGCTCAGGGCTGGATCAGCAGCCGCCCACCCACCTCTGAGTCTGACCTGGAGCCTGCCACAGACGGGCCGGCTTCTGAGACCACCACCCTCAGCGCAGAAGCCACCAGCTTTAATGACACCAGAATCCCTGACGTGGCTGGTGGCACCACCGGCGTGGGCACAATGCTTCTGTCCTTCGGGATCATCACCGTCATCGGCCTGACTGTGGCCATGGTGAGAGCTGGGGCAGACTGGGGCTGGCCCATGTGGCCGTCACTTGGCAGAAGGGTGATCAGCAGTTAGATTTTAGAGAATCTATTCAGAACACAATGGTCTGTTAGTGATAGTACAGTCCTTTCCTTTCCCAGGGATTTGTTTATATGGGGGCCCAGAGACCAGAGAGGCTCCCTCCAATCAGAAGAAAAAGAAAAGGTTCTGAGGAATACATGGCCTTTTGAGCTGGGTCGTGAAGGCCATGTAGGAGTTGGGGCAGAGAGTGTTTCAGATGGAGGGTCTTGATGGGCAGAAGTGTGGAAGCAGACAGCAGGCTCTGTGAGCAACGAGCAGGACAGTGAAGCAAATGAGCATGGGGGCCTTACAGGAGTAGAGGCCAGAAGATAATTGGGAAAGATCATGGGCTGCAGAGTCTGGATAGGATGCTCTGGGAACAGCAGCCTGCTGGTAGTGTTCATTCATTCACTTGGCAATTATTTCATGGGTTTCTGCCCTGGATCAAGCCTTCAGGACCCCAGGGATGAGGGACAAAATATCCTACAGTTCTTACAGGGAGTGAGAGATAGATACAACCAAAGTGCCAAGGGTAGCCCATACGGACTGGCTTGGGGAATTGGGTGGGGGTTGGGGGGCTTCCTAGGCTGGGTGGTCAGGGACAGCTGAGGAGGCAACATTAGGGCTGAGACCTCACAATGGAGACCTGGACCCAGTGTCACAGGAGGGGCAGAGTTGAACAGGAATCAGGGGAGAGGTGAGCTGGGCTGAGGCTCAGGTGTCCCCCTGAGAGTGGATACAATGCCTCCAGATCTGAGATCTGCCGCTGAAGATGTCTCTCCCTCGGGAATTCCCTCTGGTCCAGTGGTTAGGACTTGGTGCTTTCACTGCCGTGGTCTCGGGTTCAGTCCCTGGTTGGGAACTAAGATCCTGCAGCCAAAAAAGAAAAAAAGACACAGACTCTCTCCTGAAGATGATGCATGGACACTCAGAATGTCACCAAGGGAGATTGCGTAAGCTGAGACCTGGAAGGGTAGGGGTGCACTGGAGGACCCCCAGCAGGCCCGGCAGTGGTGGCATTCGGCCTGATGCCCCTCACGGGCTCTGACAGCCGGCCTGAGACCTCGGAGCATGTTGCTCTGACAAATAGGGCTGTGGCTGGTCCATCATGGCTGGAGCGGCTGGTAAACCATGGTCACCATATGGGCCCCACAGGCTCCGGATCGTTGCCAGGGAGCAACTGCTGTCCAGCAGGCAGGGCCAGGACACAGTACACAGAGCGAGGCCTGGGCTTACACAGCCTTCTGGGCCAGGGGCAAGGCAGAAGGCCAATGTTTGGCTCTCACATGGTGGTTAAACAGGCAGAGCCACCGGAACCTCAGGGATAAAGCAGGGGCTAGACCCAAAGATTTCATCGTGGGAACTTGGGAAGACTTCCTTACTCTTCATTCTGGAGGCACATTCAGAGGGCCAGGGTGTATGGCTTTATGTCCCAAAGCAGAGAGATAGGGAGCTTACGGGGGGAAGGCAGTGGAGGGCAGGAAACAGCTCCTGGGCCAGGGAGAGGTCCAGGTCCAGAGAGGTTCCTTGAGTACTAGGGAATCTGCCCTCATGCCATCCATGAGCCAGGCCATGCTGTTGCAAGGAGGAGCAAATCAGTGCCAGGCAGTGTGCCTCACATCAGAGGAGAAGTGCTGGAGGGCTTCCTGGAAGAGGTGGGGCTGCAGCTCGACAGTGAAGGGTGGGAAAGATTTGGAAAGGAATGTGTGTTGGGGGAAGGTGTTATTATTTGGGGCAGAAGGAGCAGCAAGGATGAAGGGTGCAGATTGGTTCTAGTGTCTCTTGAAGATCCTTCTGTATCTCAGGCCATGGGGCAGGGCAAGGAGTGCAGACCACTGGGGCTGGAGCTGCTGGTTCAGGGTAGGCAGGGGCGGGGCCAGAGACCTGGAACTCCTGTCGCCTCCCACCCACAGGAGAGCAAGGGGCCTGCTTACATCCTGGGGGTGGATGGGGGAACAAGGGCAACCTCAGTTTCTTTCTGCCTTTGGGGTCCCCCAGGAATGAGCAGCAGGAGGAGCTCTGGGCCAGGCTGGAAACAAACTGGATTCAAGCTGTGAGTGAGCCACCAAGAGTGTAGGAGCCACGGCGGATTTAGGACAGACTCTTGGAACAGGGCTTTCCCCCAGGTAGAAGTGGTCATGTTCCTGGGAGTCAAAAAACACCAGTTTAGGGATGAGCAAGGTGGTGGCAGAGGTCCTTGGGGTCCCTGCCCAGGTGTCACCCGTGTCTCACCCCCGTCCTCTCCTTCCTCCCCCACTCCCCCTGCCTCCTCACTTCTTTCCTCCCCTCCTACCCACTCCTCCCCTGCCCCTACTGCCCTATACCAGGCTTTCCTGCTCCAGCCAGGAGCTCTTGGGTCCTGGATGTTTTCTCAGGCTGCCCAGGCCTTTATCGCCAAGTCTATACAATGGTGGGGGAGGACCCAGGGGTCTTCTTAGGTTCCTGCGGCATCAGGGTTCAGGAGTTTGGTCTGGGCTGATGCCCAGGGACTCAGGTCCTCCTCCCCAACCCCTTTCCACTGAGAACCATCAACCTCCCCAGAAACCCAGCCCAGAACCTTGCCCAGAGGCACTGCCCTGCAGAGTCTGGCCTCTGCCTGGCGCCTGTACTTTTTACCTATACATGTGGAAAAGTTTTGCGCCTGGGGACAGTTGAGAGGAGGGGGGTGTGCTGAAGTCCGCCCCCACCCCCCCACACACACACTTCAGCCCTGAGGAGGCTGAGGCAGGCACTGGCTGGAGCCACTGTCAGTATTGGCAGGGTGGACCCGTGAGTCCCCAGGCCAGGCTTGACTGTGGTTTTCCCAGGCGGGGCTGCTCCCCACCTCTGAGTCCAGGCTCTGGAGCATCCCATAAATGCCGAGTGGGGTAGGAGGTAGGTGTCCATGGCCCGGGGTCACTGAGGACAGGGGTCCTAGAGGTCCCCCATTCGTCAGCCTGTGTGTCCCCGCCCCAAGGACCGCTGGGTTAATTAGGGCCTCCTTCCCTGGCCGTCTGACGCTGCTCCCTCTCTTGCAGGTCTTGTACATCAGGAAGAAGAAGAGGTAAAGACCGAAGCCTGTGGGCTATGCTGGGCTGGACTCTAGGGGCGCGGGTGGGGAAGGAGAGTCCTCCCATCATGAGGGTCCCTCTCCCTAGTCAGGGAGTCAGGGTCCCCCCTGCCCACTCAGGATTGGGGGTGACCACTTTCCCTTGGGGAGGGCTGAGCCACCCTTGCTCTGCTGCCATTGACTCCCGTTCGCCCACCCCAGGCCCCCCAGAGGCTGTGGGCCGCACAAGCCCCTGGCTTACCAGTCCCCATGGCCCCCACGGGTGACAGCTCTGTGACCCTTGGCCCCATCTGGTCCCAGGAGTGGGTAACTCTCCCTCCCAGGCCACCCATCCGAGGGGCAGAGCCAGTACGGTATGCGCAGAAATGTCTGTCACTGAATCCCGGGGAAAATTTTAGGACCATAAATAGGACTGTGTCAGAGGATCCGCAGGCAGGGCCTGGAGGGCTGGTGGGAGGGGAAGGGCCTGCCCGGCCCCCAGCAGTCTCTGCCCCCACCCCCAGGCTGGAGAAGCTACGCCACCAGCTCATGCCTATGTACAACTTCGACCCCACGGAGGAGCAAGACGAACTGGAGCAGGAGCTGCTGGAACACGGGCGGGACGCTGCCTCTGTGCAGGCCGCCGCCGCGGGGCAGGCCACGCAGGGCAAGGTGGGCGCTGGCCAGGCTCCCCCACCCAGCCCGCACGCAGGCCGCTCATGGCTCTCCTGCCCCCACCCTCCCTCCTTTCCCGGGCAGCTTCCTAACACCTGCCATGTGGTCAGGTGGCAGCTATCTGGGCTTTGTCGGGTTGGATTAGAAACAGGTAGAATTGCTCCGTGGTCCCTCACAGATCACTGCACAGCCAGGCCAGGGCAGCCTTGGGGTCCAGCCCACTCTGCCCCTGATCACCTGGTCACCTGGGAAAGTCCATTGGCCTCTCTGAGCCTCAGTTTTCTCATCTTCAAGTGAAAAAAAAAACCCTGATTCTTGCCTTGGGTGCACCCCTGCAACTCGGGGGAAAGCAGGAGGGAATGTTGGGAGGCTGAGACCCTGGGTTCCTCTGCTTCCTGAGATCACAGTGCTGAGTGAGTTGTCACTGGGGTCAGATTCTGGCACCTCTGAGTAGACCGGTGGGTTCCCAGTAACTGGCAGACCCCAGGCAGGTGCAGACCCTGGGCAGACTCACCTCCCGTGTCCACAGAGGTGGGTACCTGTGTGGTTATCCTGCCAGAGTCACTGGGCTGCCCGGCCACTTGCCAGCAGTCCCTGAGATGTCTGGGGACCAGAGCCCCATGGAGAGACCTGGTCTCCCCCGACTGTGATGCCTGTTTGCATCCCTCCTAGCCTTGACCCCACAGATTGCTAAGGAATCTAGCCCCACAGAGGCAGCTGTGGGAGACTGAACTCAGGAAGAGTGGAGGCTGGGAGTCAGAGACGCTCTGGTTTGGCTGCCAGTTCTGTGTGTCTGGATCAGGACTCACGCCCCCTTGGGATATTCAGAGTATTGGGCTGGGAAGCTCTGTCCACCCACCTCTTGGGACGACTGACCATCTGCACCTCTCTTGTGCCGGCCCCTGTGCTGCAGCTTGGGGGCTTGGGATACAGAGGTGAGCCCCCTCTGCTGGGAGAAGGCGGTACATGCGTAATTAATCCTGGGACCCCAGGGAAAGGGCTCCCTCTGGCCGAGAAGGCAAGTCGAGCTGGGGATGGCTGTCAGGAGGAGTCATGGGAGGAATCACTTGAGTCAGGTCATATTTCTTGGCTGAACTTATGGGAGTGCATTCCAGGCAGGAGGCATAGTGGGTGCCAAGTTCAAGTAAGCAGCAGAGGGTGGTGGTGACTGGGTCAGAGAGGGCCTGGCCTCAGTCAAGGTCCCTGACGCCCTGACTGTCTCTGTGCAGACCACGCTCCCTTCTCAGGGCCCAGTGCAGAGGCCCAGTCGGCTGGTGTTCACCGATGTGGCCAATGCCATCCATGCGTGAGTAGCCCGGGGATAGGCCTGGACCTCTGATGAAGACATCCGCTGCAGTGCCCACAGAGCCACCCACTCCAAGATCACTAAGACCGACTCTCAGGACCTGCCCTGCTGAGGCCCCAGCTGTTCTGAGGACCCAGCTGCTGACTCTCCAGGCTCTAAAAGAGGCCTCCCCACTGCTCCCCCGGCCAGGAGGAGGTCTGTCCATATGACGGGGATCCATGAGGTCTTCCAGCCACCCCTCCCCGTTGGCCGGCTATGGGCTGGGCCCAAGCTCGGAGGAGAGCTGAGGGGGAGGGGAGGCAGGGGAGCAGGTGCGGAGGGATGCGGGGCCAGACCCACAGCGAGGCCTCCTGCATGCACATCACCGTGCCCACCTGCAGACACGCGCCTGAGCCAGCACAGGGGGCAGGATGGAGACCCCCGCATTGGCTCCACCCTCCCACCGACCTGCACCCCAAGGTGTGTAGAGGAACATTAAGCGGGCCACCCCCTCTCTGCCATCAGCGTCAGGGACTGGCGGGAGGGGGGAAGCCGAGCCAAGGGTCCAGTGCCCACCGCGTCTCTTCACTGGGCTCTACAAGCCAGTAACCAGCTTCGGGAACAGCCCCCCTGTCTTTGTGTTTATTGGGGATCCAGGGTTGGGGGAGAGGCTACTGGTCTGGGGGCAGTGGTCACAGGCTGTGAGATCTGACTGCCTGAAACAGGATGGGGATGGCCCTTTGCAGAACAGAAGAGACCTAGTCTGGGTTCTGATCACCTTTGGTCTGCCCACCCCCTGCTCCACAGGAGTTCTGCCAGTCTGGGCATCTGGGTCAAGCCAGACCCCGAGAGCGGGGCGCGGCTCTGCAGGGCACGCATGCGCACATGAGCATGCCAGCGCACCCTTGTGCCCAGCTTCGCCGCCGCTATCCTCCGCTGGTTGGAGCGGACGCGAAGGCGGCAGGTACGAACCCTCTGTTGGGCAAATACCACCCTCAGGATGTGAGGGCCTAGGAGGCCTTCGTGGGGAAGGTTCTGGATTTATTTCCTTGACTGGATGCTATAAATACGTTAGCATTGGAGCCAACTGGAGGGCTGCGGGTAATTTGGGATGCGCAGAAACTGTAATTTAATTCACAGCATCTCCATGTGAGAGCATTAAAGATGTAATTAAGACGTTTACACAAAGAGAGTGTGAGCCTGTGACACTGAGGATATGAAACCCCAGCGCGGGGTGGAGGGTGCGGGTTGAGGGACTGGGGAGGGAGGGTGTCACTTGGATCCCAGCCTTGAGGAGGCAGCCCGGCTGTCTTTCCTTGATCTATCCAATGACATGCCTCTAGTGTTGAGTTCAAGGCTGTTCCGGGGCCTTGAACCTCAACTGTGGAATGGCGTCACCATGCCTGCTATCCCCTTGATTGGAGAGCCAAGTGGACAGGAACTATGGGACCAGAGGAGGGAGGGGGCTTGAGACCCATAGAACCTGTGTCTGAAACACAAAAGAGAAAAAAAAATAATGTGTTTTTTCCCAGAGCACAGGGTTGCAGTGGGGCGTGGGAACCCACCTGCAGGGCTCAGAAGGGTTTGGAGGGTTTGGTCACTGGGGTGACCAAATGCCCTGGTTTTCTCAGGACTGCACAGCTTTAGCATTGAAAAATCTCAAACCAGGACTTTAAGTGATGTCCAGGCCCTCCGCTAAAGAATGGAGCCTGCAGGCTGGCATAGTGGAAACAAGGAGGGGTGAACCCCAGTCCCAGGGTGGAGGGCTGGGCTGGAGGCGGGGACTCCTGGACAGGGCCCTGGGTGAGAGTGGGGACTTCAAACACTCCATGGGCCTCCCACACTGGGGTCAGACTGCCGGGCCTCTCCTTCCCTCAGCAGACTGGCAGAGGATACCTGAGGGTGAGGGGAGGGGTGTGTGGGCTATGCACCCCCCAACTAGTTGGATAGCCCCTCAGCCTGAGAAGGTGGGACCCGCAGAAGACCAAGGTCTGAGGGTCCCTAAAATGGTGCCTGTGGAGTAAAGTGGGCACCCAGTGGGCCCAGGATGGGGGCTCCAGGAGGAACCCAACACCATTCTCTCCCCCTGCCTGCCCCAGGCCCCGGTCCTGGCGGGTGGGTCTGGCGAGGTGATGGACACAGGGCCAGTTTCTGGGGGTGACAAGAGCCACTTCCTTCTCTTTTGTCCCCTCACAGTCACCCCCTCTTCCCTTCCACCCACCTTCTGATTTCTAGCTCTTTCTCAGTCCTGGAGGAAAACCAAATTCCCCCCAGAGTTCCCAGGCCTTCCACAGAGCATGGTCTCAATAAACATTGGGATAAAAGGCTCCTGGTGTTGTGTCCTTGTGCCCATGGGCTAATGGGTTGACCAGAACTCTCCTCACCACCCTCAGCCATGCAGACAGGATGATGTTCCTGCTCCTGTGGAGACTGTTACAAAGGGGCCCTTGGGAGCTGCTCCCTGGCCCCCCACCCTTGCATACACGTAGTGTGTGAAGCCTCCCCTCTGGCAGTGACCGGGGCTGCAGGCAGAAGCCACGGCAGTTTGCAGTGGGTGGCACCAGGGTGGACGTGAACTGATGCCTTCAGAGGAGGCCATCTTGTTTAATCAAGGGGAATGTCACCTTCGAGTCAAAGTGAATACAGTAATCCTGTTGCCTGGCTGCTGGCAGATGCCAGGGACGCCTTCAGAATAAAGAGGAAAGTTGGGGTGAGCCCAGAAACTCCTGTAGAGCAGTCTGACCTTGCAATGGATTCCTTCCAGAAACATCACTGAGCTCCACCCTTTGGGGGGAGGGCAGCACCAGCCCAGTCTCTGCAATGCTGTCTGAGATGGGAGGGAACAGATGTCGAATAGCAAGAAAGGATGAGTGTGTGTGTTGGTGTGTTTGACAAGTATCCACACACACTCTAGGTCTGTATCTCTACACCTCTACATCTACATCTACATCTACATGAAAAAGAAGGAAGACAGTCTGGTGTGCCTGGGGCTGTTCAGAGGCTGACAGCATTTACTGCCACCCTGTCCTGTCCAACTGCACCCCGCAGCAGCCTCGGGGTGAAGGGCCTCGGCTGAGTGTCTGAGGGAACCCCAGGAGCCACTGTCCTGGCCTCTGAGGGCTCAGGAAGGGGGGCAACTATAGCCACAGGCATCCGTGGTCATACAGAGGACTCTCCTGAAAGGCCAGAGATGCTGAGTGGTGAGCGAGAAGTGTGTGAGTCCCAGGTGCAGGGAAAGGAGGGGGAGGGGCGCACGAGGACCCCTTGGCGGGGGGATGGTGCTGAACGCCATCCCACACTGGGCCTGGGTCTTCCCTTGGCACCCCCCCACCCCACCTCAGATCTCCTTGGCAGTGGCCCCCACCGCCCACCCGTTACCCCAGGGGCTTTGATTCTACCAGTGGAAGATAAGGTGCCTGTGCTCATGGTGGGGGGGAGAGCCCTCCACAATACCTCCAGAAGCTAGAGGATGGGCTGCAAGCATGTGGGGTGGGGGACAAGGAGTTGAGGGGGCCTCCTCTCTCCCAGGCCCCAAGGGGGTGGGGGATGGAGCAGAGTGGGTCGGTGGGGCTGAGAGCTATCTGGGAAGGGGGATTCCTTTCCCAGCCCCCCTGGACCAGGGAATGCAATCCATATCAGAGACCCAGTACAAAATAAAAAGCTTTAAAAAATATATAGAAAACAGCAAATAAAATAATGTGTGGTCTATTGAACTCCTGCCACGTGCCAGGTAGGTGGACAAGCTCACGGAGGGAGGGCCAAGTCAGGGTTCCCCACTGCCTTTCACAGGACCACGGCCACAGAGGGCCTTGGCAATGGGCCTTGGGCCACCTCAAGGGCCAGAATCTGGTCCCAGCAACTGTCACCTTTGATTGGCTTGATCCCAGCACAATCTCACTTTATTCCCAGTGCCCTTGTGGGGGATATACTGTCACTCATCTTACAAGGAAAGAGATCCAGCCCCCAGAGACTGGGGCCACCAGGCTGAGAGCCAGGGGACTGGCTCTTCCTCTACACTGTTTGAAAAAGGAGTTGCAGGCAAGACCAGGAAACAGGAGGGTGCTGCTGCCTGAAGGGGCACCCAGCGGGTATTGCCCACTTGGCCACACGAGCTGCTTTCCAGCATCAAATGCTGTCCTGTGCTGCCACCTGCTGGCACCTCCTAAGCACTGCAGGTGGCCTTCCTGCCCTGTCTCGCTCCATCCTCGGACCCCTCCCCGAGTCACGGAGAGCAACCTTCACGCCGCGGGTCCTGACCTGGGGGCTCATCTGGCAGGAGAAGGGAGAGATGAGTGGGAACCTAGGGTTCAAAGTGTCAGAAGCCATTCACTCGGGCGCTGATACTACACTTGCACCAACTAACATAAGTGCCCCCCCCCCAAAAAAAAATCTGTGCCCTCGGTGCTTCAGCCTACTATGCAGACCCCTCTTGGTCAGGGCCCAGGGGACAGACCCTGAACCCCTGCCCCACCGCCGCTCCCAGGCCCGCAGGCTGGAGGCCCAGCGAGGGGAGTGTGGGCCCCTCCCTGGCGGAGCTAGCTGAGATGATCTTTACCCTGAGGAGGCTGAGAACTGCAGATTATGAGGGACTTAAGGACTTAGCAGCAACTTCATAACAGTTCAATAAGGTGACAGACACTCTGAAGCCTCGGATGAAGGCGGGAGGGAGGCAGGATTCCTGCCTTAAATCCCTGCGGGTGGCAAGGCCTGCGTGTGAACCTTCTGCAGATTTGCGGATAATACCAGAGCCCATTTAACCCCTCAGCAGCCCCAGAGCATGGACACCAGGCATGCCCTCATATCACAAATGGGGAAACTGAGGCACACAGCAGCAGGGGAAGTCGGCAGCAGCAGGGCCAGGTGGGCTACCCCCAGAGCTCACACCCAAGACCTCCCCACCAAAAAAAGTAAGAATGTTCTCTGTAGACAGAGCTGTCCCTTCCTCTCACCACTCATTTGTTCTCTTCAAGCATCCCCAGCTCCTGCACGCCAGGCCCTCTCTCTGCTGGACGCTGGGGCTGAGGAGCACCCACAGGGAGCTGGCCTCCTAAGATCCCACCCAGGGTGACAGCCAGGACGGTGAGGCTGACAGCAACTACTCACCCCTCTCTGGGAAGTGACAAGAGAAGCAGGTGAGGTGACGGGAATTCAGAGGAGGAGACACCACTTCTGACCGGGGCCAAGGTGAGGCTTAAAGTTTTTATTGGTGTGCAGTTGCTTGACAATGTTGCATGTCTTCTGTACAGCAAAATAAATAACTATACATATGTATATATATCTCGGCTTCCCACGTGGTACTAGTGATAAAGATCCTCCTGCCAATGCAGGAGACATAAGAGACACCGGTTTGATGCCCGGGTCAGGAAGATTCCCTGGAGGAGGGCAGGGCAACCCACTCCAGTATTCTTGCCTGGAGAATCCCCTGGACAGAGGAGCCTGGTGGGCTACGGTCCATAGGGTTGCAAAGAGTCAGACACGACTGAAACAACTTAGCACAGCATAGCACATACATATATCTCCTCTTTTTTGGATTTCCTTCCCATTTAGGTTACCACAGAGCCCTGAGTAGTGTTCCCTGAGCTATACAATAGGTTCTCATAACTATTTTACACATAGTATCAATAGTGTGTATATGTCTATCCTAATCTCCCAATTCATCCTCTTCCTCCTCTCCCCCTTGGTGTCCACGCATTTGTTCTCTATGCCTGTATCTCTCTTCTTTGCAAAAAAAAAAAAAAAAGTACGGAATTCTTCATAAATTTTGGTGTCATCTTCACCAAGGGCCAAGCTAATCTCTGTACTGAGAAGATATATTCCAGCAAGTATATCAATTTTAGTATATGCATTGCCATAGTGAGCACCAAGGCAAGGCTGTCCTTGTGCTGGGGTTGGATACCAGGCGACAATGGTGGCGACCTGCCCAAACCTCAGTGGGTGAGTGGACCAGTCTCCCTTGGCCGGGTAAGGCGAGATGACTGTTTGGAGCCCTTCCCAATGTGACCAGCAGGTGGCACTGCAGACCCAGATTAGGGGCATGGTTTGTGGGGCCAGTTTGGGGAGAGCTCTCCCTGAAGTTCCACATGAAGGTCCTTTTTGCAGGAGTCTGGGAGTCTGGGTGGCTGGTGCACCGAAGCTGTCTGCTTCCTCCCTGCCAGGAGCAGGCCTGAACTGGGTCTGGGTCAGG